ATATATATATATATATATATATATATATATATATATATATATATATAAATGTTAGACAGTATTAACCAGTGAAGTCGTCTGGAGTTTTGTTCATGGGAAATTTCTTATTACAAAATCAACTTTTAAAATACATATGGGATGGCCATATAATTTTTTCTTCTTGTGTTATTTATGTATTATGTCTTCAAGGAGTTTTTTATTTGATCTATGTTATTTAATTTTTTAGCAAAGTGTTTTATAATATTTAATTATTACCCTTTCAATATATATTCAATTACATTCAGTATTTTTAGGATATATAGTGATGTCTTTTATTTTATTTTTGATATTCTCTTTTTTCCCTTAATGCGTATAAAGATTTGTAAGTTTCATTGATATTTTTGAAGATTTAAATTTTTATTTCATTGATCTTCCATAGTTCTCCTTTTTATCTATCTTGCTGGTTTAGCCCTTATAAGAATCTTCTATTTACTTTGAATCTATTTGCTTTTGTTTTATAATTATTTTTCTTTTTTAATACATTTAAAACTGTAAATAACTTTTTTGGCTTGCTTCAGCTGAACCTCACAAATTTGGTATGCTATGTTTTCCTAATCATTCAATTTCAAAAAATCTTAAGATTTACCTTTTTATTTTTCTTTGGTCAATGACCATTTTAGAGGAGCATTATTTAACTTCCCAATATTCTAGGATTTTCATAATATCTTTCTGTTATAAACATTTTCCTCTATATAATTGCATTATGTTCAGAGAACATATTCTGCATAATTTGAGTCCTTTAAATTTTGTTGAGACTAAATTTATGACCCAGAACATCATTTGTGTTGGCTTTTGAAAAGAATGTGTATTTTGATGTCATTGTTGGAGTATTTTTTGTCAGATAATTCAACTAAGACAAGTTGGTTGTCAAGATTTTCAAATCCTCTTGAGAAACAAAGGGTAAAATCTTTCAGTATGATTGAAGATTCTCCTATTTTTCTTTTTTATAACAAGCAATCTTGGATTCATGTTTTTGGAAGCTTTCTTATTGTATTCACAGAGACTTAGTATAGCTTTTTTGTTTGTTTGTTTAATTGATATTGCTGTCATTATGAAAATTTCCTCTTTCTCCACAGCAATACTTGGGTGTAGGAATCTCTTTGATCTGCTATTGCTATAGTCCTCCCTGCTTTCCTTCCTTAACTTTTGCATCACATACCATTTTCATCCTTTTAATCTATACGTTTATTTAGATTTGAAGTGCACTTTTTACATGTATGTTATAGAGTTGGGTTTTGCTGTTCATTAGGTCTTAAAATATCTGCCTTCTCATTAAATTATTTTTGAGCATTTACATTTGATGTAAATATTAACATGCCTAGGTTCAAAGGCACCATTCATTTTTGTTTGTCATTTGGTTTTTTCTTTTTATTACTCCATTTAAAAATTATTTGTGTAAATCACTTGCATTTTTCCCACTATTAGATTTTACTCAATATCTCTTTTCAAGGTTTTTTGGTGTGTGTTTACTTTCCAGTTTATATTATTCACCTTCAACTTATCACCGTTTATCTTCAAATGTGATATCAATTAATGTATATTGTAAAGATCACATAATAGGGGCTGGGGTTATAGCTCAGTGATAGAGCACTTGCCAAGAATGTGTGAGGCACTGAGTTCGATTCTCAGCACCACATATAAATAAATTAAATAAAGGTCCCTGAGCAACTAAATTTTTTTTTAAATTACATATCAATATATTCATTTCCTCCTCCCATTGTTTGTGTATGTCCATGTATTCACACATATTATTTCTGTATATGTTAGAAACCCCATGGCACTTTTGTTATTGCTTTTAATTAAATAGTAAATTATTTTGTCAAGAATTTGTAAAACAAAAGACAAGAGTATTCTATATTTATGTACATTTTACCATTTTTGGTGCTCTTTTCTGTTTGTGGCTTTTTTGTATTTGGTAATGTGTTTTTATTTCTTTGTTGGGGAATTTACATTGATTTTTGAAGGATGAGATCAGTTGTGTTGTGAAATGTACCATTTCTGAATCTGTTTAAAAGTTTTTATTTATATCATTCCTCCACTGAATAATTTAGAACTGGGATGATCTAGTGGACATCTATTATACATGGGGCCATAACCAAGTAGTGAATCATGTAAAAATGCCAATGTTGCAGAAATAACCTCTAACATGGTTGCAGAACACAAGGCCAACAAACAAATATCAATCACTGCATAGCAACATTAATATATTTAACTATTTAACACAACTGAAATGTATACTTAAAAACAATTGATAGCATAAGTTTTATGTTGTCTCTTTTACCAAAGTTTTTTTTTTCTTTTTCAGAAAGCATTAGGCAGGAGGATCACAAGTTCAAAGCCAGAATGGGCAACTTGGTGAGACCATGTCTCAAAATAAATTTCAGAATGTCTGAGAATATAACTAAAGCATAATTAGAGCAATTGTATAGCATATAAAAGGCCCCAGTTTCAGTCTCTAGTACAAATATATATATATATATATATATACACACACACATAATATATATAAAAGAGACAAGGTCTAGCAACTGGTATCTGATTAGATATGAAGTTATATTTATTCCTTGAAGATAAATGAAAATATAAATCAGTCAAACAACAGAATCACTTTTCTCTATGCCAACTATAATGACAATCTATAGTTATCAATACAATTTTAATTTTAGCAAACTAGGCAGAAGATTGGAAGAAATGTTTCACAAAAGAAAATAAAGAAGGCCAAAGAGCATATGAAAAGATTTCACATCATTACACAGTTCCCTGGAAATGTGAATTAAAGCCTTGATAATATATCACTACATACTCATTAAAATACCTGTATTTATTTACACATAAGAAAATTCTCAGGAAATGACAAATATTGGCAACCATGTGTATTTAATTGGAACTATCACACATTTCTGGTGTAAATTAGTAGTCATTTGGAAGTTTCCCATGTAATTAAACAAACATGTACTTAACACATGACCTGAAAGTGTATTCATAAGTAATTACTCAAGAGAAATGAAAATATATATTTACATAAATACTTATAACAAAAATGTTCATATCATATTTATTCATAATAGCCCCAAACTGAAAACATCTCAAGTGTCCATCAATAAGTAAAACGCATGAGCTGAGGTTGTGGTAGAGCGCTTGCCTAGCATGCGTGAGGCACCTCATAAAAATAAATAAATCAAAAATAAAGGCATTGTGTCAATCTACAACTAAAACAAAAATATATTTTAAAAAATAAGTAAAAAGCAAAGCAAATTTTAGTGTTTCCATACAACAAAATCCTACTCAACAGTAAAAAGAAGCAAAAGGTAGGAAATTCAAAACCATTACTCCAAACAAAATAAGTCAGATACAACAGAATGCATACTAATGACCCTATTCGTGTTAAATTCTAAAGAGACAAAAGCCATCTAGTGATAGAAATAAGATCTGTGGTCTTCTGGTGCCAGGATGGGGAGAATGGCTTCTTAAAGGTAGGAAGGAACTTTGGGGCAGTGAAAATGTTCAGTGGTTTCATAGCTATATGGTTTTATTGGTCAAAACTAAGTGAACATTTTGAACAGGTGTATTAAAGTTGTTCAGAAAAAAACTTCAACAGTTTATGAAAATTATGTCACAGTTTTGTCATAGTAAATAAAATAACAGCTAAAATGATATCTGTTTTATATGAATTCTTTTCAGTAAATATTTCCAAGACAAAGGGTATTTTTAAATGATTTGATGTTATTGTTTTCATTATTAAATTGTTCTTGCAATCACTAGGAATTTATAAAAACAATGTTCAGATCTTTGTTATCATTTTGTGCCTTTTACCAAATCTTTAACAATGAATACTTGCCTTAACAAAACACTTTAATGTTTTATCATCATAATTCATATTTCAAATTTAAAAGAGAGTGAGGAACTTATTCATTTAAAGAAAATCTCTAAATCACCTTGAGATTTTACTTAATAAGAAAAACAACTCTGTATAAAATTTATGCCAGGAAGTAAATGGATTCTATAAAGGTTGAGTTATGTCTTATCAATCATAATAAATCATTAATAATTAATAGGAGACCCAGCCT